CTCTCATCTTCACCATCTAGTGTAGCTAGGTCTAGACATCAATAAGCACTCTACTAATCACAAGATCCTAGAAAGTATACATGGGTTGGACCTGGTTCTAATTTAATTATGAGTTGTGTAAGGATGCAGTCACGAGAAAAATAGACACATGAAAATAACAAGTTTTGTTGGTGCTTCACAGATCAATAGGTGGGACTACTTTTATCCCTACCTACTAGTGTTCTACTGTTAGCAGTTGCAAAATATTGGTCCAAATTCCAATAGAGTTGGTGAGAGTGTGCATTTTTCACTGGTTGTTCGGAAGAGGCGATATCCTATGGTGCAAGAGGAGGTCCTTTGAACAGAACTATGTCGGCCAGGGTTGAGAGGCCTGATTCTTTTATGCTTGGTTTGGCTGTTTTGGTTTTGTTGATGACTGAGATGGAAGATGCACCAAATGTGTTTGATCTGGGTGGAAAATAGGCGGTTTGGGGTCCAGTGAAAGGGGCAAATTTGGGATCCAATCGAATGCATGAGAGATCGGCATAGTTGTTTTGGCCGACACAAAGGGTGGCCGGTTGGGGTTGTTTGTTGGCCGTGAAGGACAAAGATCAGCTTGCGATGGATAAACTGCTGATGTGATATGGAGAATTTAAGATACAGGTGATGGAGGAAAAAGATGCAATGAGGATGATCCGTCCCCCTCCTGAACCGCCGCCACAGATAAGACGAACTGTGTGATTAGGGTTTGGAGAAAGTTTATTTACCTTTTCTTTTTTACTGTTTTCAAATCTTTATTATGTCAAACAACATAGGTGGTAGGTTAGTAGTTTGGTTTATTTTAGTTGCTAGATTTCTGTGAGAGGCAATCAGACTGACTCAACTGCTAATAAGCTCAAAGCTCTCACATGTTCAGCGATTAGTCTCGCTCTTTTTGGAGCGGCCTACTCTATGTCTGATCAGGAATTGAGGAGGGTGGTGAGCATATGGTTATTGTTAGTTAGAGCCTTAGAGGGATGTTAGTGTCAGATGGTTATTATATTGTTTGCAATGCTTCAGATTGTATTCTCTCGGTTACACATTGAGAATTTGAATAAATATAATATGTCAATGTTCCTTTCAAAAAAATGGTGGCATATAGGCGTGATGAAGTAAAATGATCAGTGTTATTATAGTATGACGATGTCGTCGTTCGACAAGGCCATTATGTTCCGGAGTGTATGACGAGGTCATTGAGAAATGCCATATGGGATAAAGAAATTTTCTAGAGTGACAGACACAGTTCCCTATTACTTCCCTCATTAGAGTGGTAAACCATTTTAATTGGGGGTTATGTCCAAAATAATACTAAAAAAAGAGCTATGAACAAAAAAGAGACCTTTATTTCGATTTTCCAAAAATGAGACTAACAATGGGTTAAGAGACTATTATACCCTTATTTTAATAGAATCTCACCCATTAGTCTACAATAACGCCACAGTGACCAAAACCATTATCGTGACCAAAATTCGTCACTGACCAAAAATCATTTGTGACCAAAAATCCAAAAATCCGTCAGGGACCAAAATCATTAGTGACAAAAAATTCTACCTAGTTACCAACGTCAACCCGTCCAATGACCAATCCGACTAGTGACCATGACCAATCCACCCAGTGACCAAAAATCATTTGTGACCAAAAATCCAAAAATCCGTCAGTGACCAAAATCATTAGTGACCAAAATTTTTACCAAGTTACCAACGTCAACCTGTCCAGTGACCAATCTGACTAGTGACCATGACCAATCCATCTAGTGACCAAAAATCATTTGTGACAAAAAATCCAAAAATCCGTCAGTGACCAAAATCATTAGTGACCAAATTTTTTACCTAGTTACCAACGTCAACCCGTCCAGTGACCAATCTGACTAGTGACCATGACCAATCCACCCAGTGACCAAAAATCATTTGTGACAAAAAATCCAAAAATCCATCAGTGACCAAAATCATTAGTGACCAAATTTTTTACCTAGTTACCAACGTCAACCCGTCCAGTGACCAATCTGACTAGTGACCATGACCAATCCACCCAGTGACCAAAACTCATTTGTGACAAAAAATCCAAAAATCCGTCAGTGACCAAAATCATTAGTGACCAAAAATCATTTATGACCAAAAATCCAAAAATCCGTCAGTGACCAAAATCCGACCCACATACAATTACTGTACCTGGTTTGCCAGTTACAGTTACTCACTTTCCCGACCCACATGTTACAGTTACCTGGTTTGCCAGCTACAATTACATGACTCGTCAGTTACAGTTACATGACCTGCAGTTACAGTTATCCATTTCACCAGTTACAGTTAAAATAATTTGCCAGTGACCAATGTTACAGTTACCAATGTTATAGTTACCAACGATATAGTTACAAAATTCATTAAGTGACAAAAAATTAACACATCCCACCAATGATTCGTCGCTCTATCCGACTTGTCCGTTACAGTTACTTGATCAGACCAATTTCAATTACCAACTTGTTAGTTACAATTACCAGATCCCACCAGTTACAGTTACCTGATCCATCTTTTAACTAATTTGTTAGTTACAATTACCTGATTCAAATAGTTACAAACTTACAATAGTCTAACCCAAACATTAGATTACTCGGCTCAACCAGACCAGTTACCAGACTCAACCAGTTGCGATGACCCAGTCTAATAGTTAGGCCGCTACTACTTTCGGCCACACGCCGCCGCCGCCCTCCACATCCCCAACTCAACCGCTCTTCTGTCCCTTGCATCTGCCTAGCCCCTGCCCCTTCCCCAACCGGTCCAACACAGACATACCTCTGCCACAGGCCACACCAGTCCACCCTAGACCCTCTCATTGCCCCATCAGTCCACCCCAGACCCGCCCCTGCCCCATCAGTCCACCCCAGACCCGCCCCCTGCCCCACAAGTCCACCTAGACCCACCCTACTCCACCAGGCCACCCTAGCCATTTCCATTCACAGTAGACTCGACTCGCCATGACCTCCATAGCCTCACCCTCCGGTGTTGACCCTCACCGTCGGTGACAAACTAGGTCAGAGGAGGCGACAGATTTCGACCATCGACCTAGGTTAGGGACGAGGATGTATCTGGACAGAGTCAATGCCACCAGCTTGGGGTAGACGATGGCTGGGAAGACGACAGATTTGGTTGGATACGGCGGTGACCGCTCGAGATGGAGACAGTGGAGACCGTTCGAGATGGCGACGGAGGCGATCGTTCGAGAATCGAGATAGAGACGGCGGCGGTGGAACCCTAGGCGACAGCGGTAGTGGAAGGTGAGCTGAGGCGTCGGCGTCGGCGTCGGCGTCGGCGTCGGTGGAAGCTGTGGCGACGACAGCGACTCGAAGCTTAGCGGAAGCGACGGTGAGAGGAAGTAGAGTGGCGGTGATGGCGAGCTGAGCGGATGCGGAAGCTTGCTGCCGGCTGCGTGAGGGGTGATGCGAGGATCCAGATTTGGATTCTGGAGAAGGAGAAGTAAAGTATGAGGGTAAATTAGGACATTTCGTAAAAATGAGTCTCTTTTTTGTCTAGTTTATAAAGTGCTCCTAATTCTGTCTTTTGAGTTCTTACAAGTATTATTTCCGCTATTTTTTCTTTTAATTGTTTATTTTATTGTAAATGACTCATATTAAAATACTAGAACTCAAGTAAATTAAATTAAAATAAAAAATCAAACACCGATCACTGGTGCCCGAGCTAGAAAACTAGAAAAACACCAACAAAATAATGTCTGACTAAAAAAAACCTATTAAGAGAATTAAAAAAGCCGTTAAAACATTGAGACTAAAAAATCAAGGCGGGTTTGAGAACTGTAACACGTCTTCTTCTCATTTTTCACTAGTGGAAAAAACATACTACGTATTTCATAACAACCATTTCATATTGGTTCTAATTGACCAGTTATTATATTTACATATGAGGTTGTAATGTAAATTTTTATTATATTTACATATGAGGTTGTAATGTAAATTTTTTACACCTCATATAGGTCTAAATTGCAAATGTAAAAGACTTTTAATAAAGGTTAGATCAATGTTGTCAAAGTCTCAATCCTAAAATTGTACGATTTTACAATTTTACATTAATAAATCAGTTCAACCAAACATTCTAGCCCAGCTGGTTGTGTGATTACCGTGCATAGTGAGAGGTCTCGAGTTCGAAACATGTTAGGTACATAAGGGTTCGAAACTTAATTGAGTAAGTTTCGGCCCCGATTACTCCAGGCCCCATCGGGCCCCCTCTCCAGACCCCCTGGAGTAAAAAAAAAACATTAATAAATTGGTTCAAATCACAAGTGATATCGTAAACTCATATAAAATCATACAAAATTAACTACTAGAAATTGATACAGAATTCCAATATAATAATAAATGTTAATACTTGAAAATACTACTTAAAACGTGCCAAATTAAATGATTTAAAATTAGAAAAAACTCCCGAAATAGGATTAAAAACGTTTGAAAATTTCAAAATAGGACTGTCATGTTTTTATTTCCAATATAGGAGTAATTACGGCCATGTTTGGAAAACACTGTCAACTTTAAAGTCTGGTACTGCCAAAACATAACAGTAATTGGTCTTATTTTAAGAATAAAAAATGAAAGTCCTATTTTGGAATATACAAACGTTTTTAATCCTATTTAGGGTAATTTTCCTTAGAATTATTATGATAATATTACCCAAAATAGGACTAAAAGAGTTTGGAAATTCCAAAATAAGAATGTTATGTTTTTATTCCAAAAATAAGACTAATTATTGTCATGTTTTGGCAGTACCAGACTTCAAACATGATAGTATTTTTTAAAATTGTCAGTAATTACTTCAATGTTGGAAATAAAAATATAACAATCATATTTTGGAATTTTCAAACTTTTTAGTTCTATTTTGAGAATCATATTTTGGAATTTTCAAACTTTTTAGTTCTATTTCGAAAACTTTCTCAATTATTATTAATTAACCTAATTAGAAAATCACATGCCCTGGAATAACCTAACCTAGTTCCGCTTCTATATACACCCCCCGTAAACACCCAACCCAATCTCCCTTCTGCTTAGGCCGTTCGTCTAATACGTTGAGGTTGGTCGATTATTACCAACTGGTCTTCTTATTTGATCGTGTCTTGTATTTTCTGTTCGTGCATATCTTATTCTATATTATCAGCAGTGAATAGATCAAGCTTAGAGGGTGTTGTTGAGGTTCGATCTTTATCAGTTCTTTCATTTTTTTGTTTTGTGTTTTTGTCCTACACTAAATAGGAACGATGAGGTTGGAGAAGTGCTGGTTTTGCTCATCCACTATATACCCTGGCCATGGTATACAGTTTGTTCGGAATGATGCAAAGGTATGATATTGTTTTATATACACATATATCAATTTCTTGGATTGATAAACTATAGTCAAGTAATAGTTTATTATTAGGAAACAGAAGTATAAATTAAGTCAGCTTGCTTTGTTTGAGCCCGAGGTGAAATTTAGGTTTTTAGTATGATTCAAATTTATTGGATGCTAGTGTATACTGATATGGATTCAGCGCATAACTGCATAATGCTTAGTAGTGTATCCGCTTCATTTTTTCGGACTAAATATTTTCATATCATGCAATCTGGTTTAGATGAGTGTCAACTGTTTGTTGAGAAAGTTAACCTTGAAATTAGTCACTTTCAGAATTAGTCTCTCAGCTGTTTCTCAGTTGACCTTGTTTTGAGTCCTAAATGCATGTCGTTTAGTCTCTCTGCCTCCCTGGCTGTCTCAACACATAATCACAGAAGTGTATAGTGGTTTATCACATCCTTTATAGTGGTTTATATTCACAAGAAATAAATACACATTGTTTAGTTTTCTAGTAGTGTGCATTATTTTAAAAAACCTAAACAGCTGGTGTTTTCCTTCAAATAAACATTTGGTTACATATAAGAATAATTCTTACTCCCTTAGTCCCAAAAAGTGTCTTGTTTGAAGAACATATTTAAAGAGCCTGACTTAAAAGTCAAATTATATTCGAAAGTAGAATTCTTATTTAGCCAAGTGGGAAGTGGTTCTAGTAAAGTATTATAAACATTCCAGGAATTAAGTTTTAGGGGTATAAGTCACCATTCATAATTTGTAAAAGCTTGTACCTGGATTGAGTAGACATAAAAAGGTTTTACCATAGTTAAATGATTCTCTATTTTTTTGCCAAGGGGATTCCTCATGTTCATCATGACAAAATCAGAAAACACATTCAAATTCAGTACTCCATAAAAAAGAGCCCCACACTAAGCACAATCGTAACACATAATTTTCTTAAGGGTTAATAGTATTATACCATGTACGCATGGTGCCCAAAAAGCTTACTGAAACAGTGTAACAAGACATAATCCAATGAGTGATTATCTCATATGTCCCTATCATTTCCTGTTTAAAAGCTAAGTCAGGTCATGTTAGAGGCATAATGAGAAGAGCCATCATGACCTCATCTTTCCTCAAATATCATATGTTGACTGATGTCAAGCTTAACATCATCTGGCTCCTTTGAACTTGCTGTCACTTTATTAAGGGATTGCGGGAGGTGCTGTTTTGAACCCCCGCCCTTCATTGTTTCTGTTCAAAAATTACATTTGATAAAACATAACAATTGACTCATTTGGCATTGTGTCCATGCATGCGGCATCCTTTCATCTCCTCCTCATCTAAGCTGTAGTAACTTAAACCATAATGTAGAAAACATTTAGCAAGCTACTAAACTATCATAGTATCATGTCCATAGCTTATGTTAAAACTGAATAAATTAATACCAAAAGGATAATATAGGAGTACAACTCAAAGTATAGCTTTAGTAAATAAAACATCAAATAAACTGAAAAAATAAATTAAACAAAAGCTATATAGAAAATTAATGATATTGATATGAGTCATGTTAAAAACTAATAGACTCAGGAAATAAAACAGGAAAAAAGCCTCCCAAGAAACAAAGTTCGGTATCACGAAGTAAAATAAATGTAGAAGAAGATGAGAAAGAAGTAGAAGAAAGGTTGAGGCGTGTACGTCATTTGCTTGCAGCTGGGTCATGTCAGAGGGTGCGACTTGGTCACTGAAGAAAGATTGATGCTCTAGTTCTCAAAGCCTCTGACTTCTCTTCTCCTTTTTTCCTTTATTAACCTGTTATTACCTTAAAATTGTGCTGAACACCTGGTAACCTTAATAACCCTAACAATATTTACAAAAAACTAAACAAAAAGAACCTAATCAGCACACTGTAATGTGTGCTCTTTTGCTAAATGGCCTCAAGCCACGATTTGATGTACAGTTTTTAAGTTTCCATATTGTATGTTAGGCTGTTAGCTTGTCAGTGTGTCAGGCTACCCAGGAATGAGCTACTTATTTCTTAGTTCTGTACTTGCTTGAGTATCTAAGACTTGTATATTTACATTTCAAGTGATGTCCGGCCCATTGGGATCAATTGTCCCTTGAAATATCAGATTTGCATCAATAATTTGGATTTTGACCTTTTCACCTTAGTTTGTGGGACATTTTCATACAAGTTATAATGATTAGATTTACTTCAGCTGATTGTTTTTTTGTAAAACAAGATCTTTTTGTTTTGCAATTTCCCCTTTTCATACTCCCTCCGTCCCATTAGACTTTGTCAACTTTCCTTATCTATTTGTCCTACAAACTTTATGACTTTCCCTTTAATGTAAATAATGTGTGGACTTGCTCGTTTCTCTCCTCTCGGTACACACTTCAACCACATAATTTTTACTTATCTTATTTCATACCTAAATCTAACTTGACAATGTCCAATGTGACGGAGGTAGTGTTTTTTGTTGTTCATTTAGCAATTTTGTATTGGTCACAAAAATAATATATGGAGACATATTGTTGATTGTCTGTGGTTAAGAAACAAATCTGACAGTCGAATGCTATATTGTTTGTTGTGGGATTGTGCATATGATTTATCTATTGTATGGCTAAATGAGTGTTTTTTTTCATAATTTTTTGAACTTTATTGATGATAATCCATGTGTTTCTTCATCTGCAGATTTTTAGGTTCTGTAGATCTAAATGTCACAAGAACTTTAAGATGAAGAGAAATCCACGCAAGGTCAAGTGGACTAAGGCATATAGGCGGTTGCATGGAAAAGACATGACACAGGCAGGCCACATCTATTTAATCTTCATAAAAAATGTGTCAATCGGTTTTCTTTTCTTTTTTTTGTTGCTGTTTTATTTACTGACAGTTCTCTACATTTCATGCATTTGCATTTCTTCTTGGAATATTCAAACTGGAAGGACTCAACCTTTGAATTTGAGAGGAAGCGAAACAGGCCCGAAAGATATGACAAGAATGTAACAGAGAACACTTTGAAGGCCATTAAGAAAATTGTTAAAGTCAGGGATGATAGGGAGGCTACTCATCACAAGAACAGGTTTTTTTATGTTCTTGCCAATTTGTCTACAATTTCTGGTGGATCCATTTATACAGAAGAGATTTTTTCTATAGTATTATCAGATAATGAAAAAGAATACCATCCTGGTCACAAAAGTCATTGCAAAAATATTAAGTCACATTTTGACCTTAAGTATTAATGTAGTGATATATTTGTGGTTATTGTTGCGTAAACACACTCACATACAAATGTGCATTAACGTTTTTCTTAAAAAATCTCCCAGGAAGAGACCTAAGATTAAATATGTCCAGAAAGTTGATGCAAAGGAACTTGCACAGAGTATCCACATGGTCAAAGCCCCTTCGGCTCTCCAAAAAGATCCTTCGCTCACCTTGCCAATCAAGGTCAAGGTCTCACAACAGTCCAAAGAAAACCGCATGGAGGAGTAACGTCCATCTCTGCCTGTCCTTGTCATTACTCATTGCAGACATTGGGCATTCCTTACTATATCCGATCCTTACTGTTATTGTTGGTACCCTTTTTGCTTTAGGTGCTAAAAGTCTCATATCATTATATTATGTACTACAAGGAAAAATGGTGTTTGATCAACTTCATCAAGTACAACCTTGTTTTGGTTTTGGTATGATCAACGGACAAATCATGAATTTTTATTCATATTTTTGAAATTATTTGTTACTTAAGGCAATGTATCATATGCAACTCTTATTTTGCAAGTTACATGGAAAAGTAATGTAGATTGCAGACAAACTTACAATCATCCATTCAACCATGGCATGTAGACATAAACGATAAGATGTGATTGTCTAATCCATTACAATTTGTTTTCTTTTTAAATTGTAAAATGTTTTTGAGAAAATTCTATAAATAGAAATAAAACATAAGTGAAGTGTATAAGAGTATCTCCTTTGACGATCTCTAAAAATTGTTGTGCAAATAATCTATTTTTTTAGTTGTTGCAATTATTATTTTCAATTAATCATAAAATTTGTTTAGTCTCTCAAGTCTCAAAGTCTCCATCACCATATTCAAATAAATCAATTTTTTTTAGGGAAAAGGGGCAAATAAGCCCCCGAACTTACCGAAAAAGTGCAAATAAGCCCTTTTATAGGAAGTTTTGTCCGGCCGTCGCCATTTGAGGTGGTTCTCAGTGGAATATTTTGATGAAATATTTTAAGCATCTTCTTCATTAAGTCTAGTTTATCCATACCAAATTTTAGCTAAAAGTTCAACTGAAAAGGCAGTCAAATAAATGTTATGAAGATAACTGAGCAGTTAAACAGCGCAGTATAATTCAGAAAATCATTTGGCTGCCTTCCCGGTTAAATTTTTAGCTAAAATTTTGGTATGGGTAAATTAGACTTAGTGAAGAAGATGTTAAAAATAATTCATAAAAAAACTCTACCTAGAATCGCTCCAAATGGCGACGACTGGACAGAGCTTCTTATAAAAGGGCTTATTTGCACTTTTTCGGTTAGTTCGAGGGTTTATTTGCACATTTTCCCATTTTTTTATTATCATGCACTAACCTAGCAACCTATTACATGCTCTTTTCATATTCTAAAGATTGCTACATTAGCTTGGGTATATTATTTCATGAGGAAAGTGCAAAAAAAAGTAGGAGAGATTGTAAAAAAAATGAAATAGAAGATGAAAAGTAAAAGAAAGTAAGGGTTATTTTGAGTATTTTTAAGAAAAAAAATTATTAAATGAGGAAATTGTAGGAAAATCTTAAATCTTAAATTCATCCCAAAAAGGAAAGCATGCTAAACAATGGAAGTCATAATAATGGGGTCACTCAATAGGTTCCTCCTAGTCATAATAATCTTATAAATTGTCCTAAATAGGACTAATGAGTTCCTAAAAAGCACAAATAGGACTACTACTTTTTAAATTTCCTAAATAGGACAAAACATTGATTTTCTACCCTAAATACCCCTCATAGTATTAATTCATAATGAAATGCTTTAATTCATAATAAAATCATAAAAAATGTAAAAAAAATTTAAAAAACGTAAAAAAATTATAAAAAATTTATACAACATTTATAAAATAAAAAATTTAAATTTTTATTTTTTAATTGTTTTTTAAAAAATAATAAAAAATAGTAAAAACCCATAAAAAAATGAAAAAAATTATGGATACCTTTCCCACCGCCTCCCAGCACCACCACCTCCGATTGGTGAAATTTCTTCCACTTTTGGTAAAAAACTGCCATCTTTTTCTGAAAATGCCAAAAAGATGGCATAATTACTCTTCAATATGCCAACATTTTCATTGAGTATGCCATCATTATGGTATTATTTAAAATGTTGGCATATTTTTCTCCGGTGATGGGAGCTGGTGGTGCTGGGGGGTGGCAGGGGTGGTAATGTTTTTTTTTAATTTTACGATTTTTTTTTAATTTTTTTAAAAAAATATTTTTTTTTAATTTTTTTAACAAATATTTTTATTAATTTTCTATTATTGTTTTACGATTTTTAGTATTTTTTTCGATTTTTTATTATTTTTTATGATTTTATTATTAATTAAAACATTTCACAAGTTACAAGGGTATATATTTGTCCAAACACACATAAATAGTCCTATTAAGGGAATTTAAAAAATGTAGTCCTATTTGTGCAATTTTGACACTTTTTAGTCCTATTTAGGGAATTGACTCAATAGCATTCCTTACATAGGAATATTAATGTTTCCTTTTTAAAATAAGATTAATTTACTCTTTTTTTTATTAATTTACTCTTAATGAAGGAAATTTTATACTTTTAATAGAATCAAATAAGCTCAATTTTTTTGACTCGTCATATTCAAACTTTTATTAACTCAACAGGTCATTAGCCAATCGGGCATAATATCGAAGCTACTCACTTGATCTGAGATATTAACGTGAGTTTTTGCCAAAGCATGAGCTGCACGATTCGCAGATCGTTTATAAAAAGAGAAAAAAATTACTCTTTGTATCTAACAACCTCCTCATATCATCCAAAACAATATGCAAATAAGAGAAACCTTCCCCTTGTCGGAGTCCTTGCACAATAGTCATAGTGTTTGTCTGAAATTCCACCTTATTCCATCCTGCTTCCAGGGCTTCTTCAACTGTAGCCTTCAAACCTACCGTCTCGGTTTCCGCTGCAGTCCAGTTGGTGCTGATCGACCCACCGCCTGCTTTAACAAAGGACCCATACTCGTCCCGTGCCACCCAACCCCAAGCTCGGATTTTTCCTTGCTCATTAACAACACCATCCACATTGATTTTAATAAAATCTTTATCCGGTTTTTCCCACTTCTCCTCCTTCCTTCGGCCCACCCCATGTTGAATACTCCCGTTGCTTTGAGCGTCCTGCCAGCCTGCTAGCATTCCAACCGCAACATTAATAACACTTGTTGCATCGTCCTTCTGATCTTTCCAGACTGCATTATTCCTTCTCTTCCATATCCCCCATAAGGTGGCAATGAACCTACTTCGTTTCTCCTTGTCTTTCTCGGATATATTCCCCGACAACCAAATCTCAAAAATTTTCTCCTCTTCGATTGGGAAGCCCGCTGCCTGCCAAACCGCCCTCACCCAGCCGCATATTCTGAAAGCATGATTTGGTGACTTGGATTGATCGTCACACAATTTATGCCCCCCTTGAATGGTCATCCCTCTTCTTCGCAGATTGTCCACCGTAGGCATTGAACCATCCATAATCTGCCAAACAAAATATTTAAATTTAGGTGGTACCTTAGACTCCCATAAATGGCGCCAAACTTTCTCGTCCGTTGCTTGCAAATTTTCCATCTGAAGCTTAAAGCAACTTTTACTGAATAATTGCCGTTAATTTCCCCCTTCCACCAATAGCTATCGGGCCGATCAACATTGCTCAAAGGAATGCTCAAAATTCTTTCTCTGTCTGACTCATTAAAAATTAATTGGATCCATTCTCTATTCCATTCCCTTCCAGTGATATTCCTCAGTGCAGCCACATTCATGTCCCGTATCCCAGTGGGTCTAGCCGAAGTAATACGACCTTCATCATTCCCCGGTAGCCAAGCATCTGTCCAGACTTGAACATCAACATCAATTCCATTCCCCACCCTTCTCCGCGTATTCATTTTTAAAATATCCCGCGTTTTTAAAATACTTCTCCACACAAAAGACGGATTATTACCCAACTTGGCTTGAAGAAAATTAGAATTAGGATAATACCTTGCCTTCATAACCCGTCCCATGAGACTATTTTCATCATTTATCTACCTCCATCCCTGCTTGGCCAACATAGCTAGATTAAACTCCCTAAGTCTTTTGAAGCCTAATCCTCCTGCTTCCTTCGGCCTGCATAAGTGTGTCCATGTTCTCCATCTCATGCCTTTCTGATCAAGCTTGGATCCTCTCCACCAGAAGGCATAAGCCGTTCATGAGTTTCTCAATTTCATCACACAGCTCTTTCGGTAACAGGAAGACATTCATCGCATAAGTGTGCATTGTCTGAATCACATTTTTTAGTAGAACCGCTCTCCCTGCTCTAAACAAAAACCGGTTATTCCGTCCTTTTATTCAACTATGGATCCTTTCCCGATGATAGCCGAGAATGGCTATTTAGTTTCAGCCAACCATCCCAGGTAATCCCAAATACTTGCTCCCCCTCCATGTTAATACCCAATATATTTCAGCAAGTAGACCTGGTCGTGACCTCGGTATTGGGACTAAAGCTTAGATTGGATTTATTGTAGTTAATTAACTGTCCGACAACACTTCATAATTATTTAGAATTTTCCTTATTTCGTTGCACTCCCCTGTCGTAGCATTGAAAAAAGAAAGCTATCATCCGCAAAAAATAGATGAAAGACCTTAGGTGCCCCTCGACAAACCGCAACGCCATGAATATCCCCTCTTTGTTCAGCTTTTCGTATCATCGAGCTCAACCCTTCTACCACCAAAATAAACAAATATGACGACAAAGGGTCTCCCTGACGCAACCCACATCCCGGAGTAATCGGACCTAACCTATCTTTTCCAAACTGAATAAAATAGCTGACCGAACTGATACACTCTATGATGAGGCCGATCCATCTACTGTCAAAACCCATACGAGACATCACCATCTAAAGAAAATCCCGACTGACTCTGTCATAGGCTTTGCTCATATCCAGTTTCAGGGCAACATATCCTTCTTTTCCTCCTTGCTTCCGTTTCAAACAGTGTTGCATTTCAAAAGCCACCATAATATTATCCACTATGGATCTACCTAGAATAAATGTACTTGGGTTTTCCCCAATCAAACCTCCCAATAAGCCTTTCATCCTGTTCGCTAAGACTTTGGAAAAGATTTTATACGCAACATTACATAGGGCAATCGGCCTCCAGTCCCCCATTCCTTTCGGCATATCTTTTTTAGGAATTAATACTATATTCATCACATTTAATTCAGGTTGAATATTACCTGAATTAAAAATTCCTGTGCACAACCTCGTTATTTCCGGCCCCACAATGTCCCAATATTTGTGAAAAAATGCCGGGTTCGACCCATCCATTCCTGGTGCCTTCTCCGGATGCATGTCAAAAGCTGCATTTTTAACTTCATCTGCCGAAATCTCCCTAAGAAGCCTCCTATTCTGGTCCTACCCGATCTTCACAAACTGGCTAAGAGCATTAGCGTCGCCATTCCTGCTAGCAGCAACAAATATATTAGAAAAATAATCCCGAATCATCGTCCCCATAGCTTCTAGGTCCGTCACCCGATCACCATTCTCCCGCTTCAAGCCAATCATTTTATTCTTCCGCCTCCTAGCTTTAACCGTATTATGAAAAAATTTTGAATTC